CCGGTTGGAAAATACAGTGAGGTCGGAAATTAAGCGATCTTTAAAAAGTGGGAAGTTGGGCAAAATGAGTACTGTGGTTCAAGTGATATTAGCATATTTCTCATTTAGTTTTAACTCGTATAATATTTATTCACTCACTGTTTACTACAGCCAGAACGCTGTACGTGTCTTCACTTTCAGGTTAGTTCTTCCGCCGATTTCTCGCAACCAGCAACGTGATTTTTATTTGGGATTTCGGGAAACATAACATGAATCGTTATGGCATTCATAACACAACACCTCTGCATGTTTCAACTTTTAAGTTGTCAGTTAACAAGGTCTTTCATAGTAGCATTTCTATGGGATTGACGTACTAAAATGAATGGGTTCAGTTATCAGTGTTCACTGATGACATCATCTGACTGGCCCTCTAGAGGCGAAATGACGCCAGGCAAAGCGGGCGTTTGTCGTCTGCTTCACGGCCCGTTTTATACCCGATATTTAGGGCATTTCGCAGCACATATAAGTTGTTTTTATCGACGGAATTCATTCAAAGATCTCAAATTTCATGTACAGAGTGTCAAAAGCCACACCTCTGCTCCCCTTTAAGTAACGCACCGTAGAATGATACGGGCATGGCAAACACACCTTTGAAAAGCTTGAAGTCTGGCGATTCCAAAAATATATACTTTCCTGGGTCTATTTGTAGTCATTTGGTCACAATTAGAAGATGAAAATAATAGTCCCGCTACCTTAAGCATATTCGAGTTTTGGACTACGCGACAGGACTGTGAGACCATCTTCCTATCATAATGACATTATAGCAATTTAATGCCAGTCTAATGCTACTTTTTTAACGGTGCTGATTCCTAAACTTTGTGCGTTTGATTGATCCAAAAATTGCTAAAGCTGCAACATGTACCACATCAAAACAAATCCAAAACAAAGGATGTAATGGAGATTTTCAAAAAATAAAATCTACACTAATTATTTCCATAGAATTGTTTCAAACCATATAAAATTATAATATTTATGAAAGCTCATAATTCACACGAATTAAAATCACTGTTAAGTTAGATGCAGCTCATATGTAGT